CCCAACGCACTGGTTGCTGACATAATCTCTGCACGGATGGATACAAGAAGCTCATGTGGGATTTGCCGACATATGCCATCTTTGGAGTAGACGTGATATCCGGCTGACTGGTTGGCTGTCAGAAATTGTCATGAAATTTAAGTTTGTGCAATATCTAGCTCTGTATTGATCTAGGTGTCTTTGATCATAGGTGTCTGGGTTCGTTCTATTTCCACTCTCCTCCGTCTTTTTAAGGGTTTAGTATTGTGAATATTGATGTTGATGTGAGACGTTGAGTGTTATTAGGTAGGTAGAGCGGATTAATCGGTCGATGTTGATATTGTGAAGCTACATCGATTGAGAGATGGCGCTCGGACATGTGTCGCGCATTCCTGCCTAGCCAATCGTCTTCCACGAAAACCACTATTAGCTGATGATATAGGATTGATCAGGTTGGAAAACAGCTAGCGGTAGTTGTGGTGGTACTTACTTACTTTACTTCGGCTATCTCCTGCGGGAGGATGAGCCGGCTTCATGAACATTTCGAATCATCGCTGCCCAGGAGCGGTGATCTGATGCATGGTTTTGCGACACGGTTATCCAATTCTTGTTCCACAGACGGAGTTCGTAGACGGTCTGTAGCCCCAGCCCAGTCACTCCATATCAGCCTTGACTGACTGTACCAAGCCATGTTTTCAGCTGTCCACACCTGCGACATCGCCAAGATGGAAATGGAGAGGGATTTAGAACTGATTTGACCAGATCGTCATCTGGTCGACCCAGAACATGGCCAAACCACCGAAGGCCACGTTGTTCGACCAGTACTGGTTGATGTTGTAGCAACGAGAGTTCATGAAGTTTCATGGGAATTAGGTACGAGTGATGTCCCCAGAATCGCTCGGCCTTTTGTTTCAGAGTGCAACTGTAGCTTTTACACAACCAAGTGTGACCTCCTAGAAGGCAGTAGGAGTCGAGTAGGGAGTCCATTATCCATTGGAAGCCAGCCGGTCACCGGAGTCCGATTCATACGCATTTTTGAATTAGGCCAGACATCCAGGGCATTCAGTAAGCCCTTTGTCCATACATCTGGCGGTGAGCTTCATACGCCAGTCGTTGGAGGTTTGGAATCAGGCAGGGTTTAGCCATCTTCCCTAGACTGTCATCCAATGGACAGTCAACCCGGTGAAGAGCGCCGGGCATCCGCTTTTGCCCTCTCACTTCGGTGAAAAACACCTCCGCCACCTGAAGGCAGTGAGTAGGACTTCCTCAAGAGAGGCTATGTAAGACTCCCGGTCATATGGGAGCATTTCAAGAGGTGTACGGAGATGTGGCCAACCCGCAGCGTAAGGCACCCACCCCCGACCATCCTGAGGCGGCCTTCGACTCCGTGGATCGAAAGGTACTATGGGAATGTGTGACTGTGAAGGGAGTGCGAAGAGAGTACATTGCACTAATTAAGGCACTCTATTCAAACTCATATAGTCGTGTAAGGGCTTATGGGGAATTGTCATCTGAATTAGTAACAACCAGTGGTGTCCGACAGGGATGTCCACTTTCCCCATTTCTGTTTAACTTCATCATAGATATGCTGATGGAAGTATCCTTAACTGAACGTAACGACTTAGGAATCGACTTGTTACCAGGGAATAGTCTTATGGACTTAGAATATGCAGATGACATAGTCCTGTTAAGGGAGGATGGTGACAAAATGCAGAGTCTTCTGAACACCTTGAGCAGCAATCTTCGTATGTTTGGCATGCGATTCGCCCCTACAAAATGCAAGATGCTGCTACAGGACTGGACTACGTCAACTCCTAGCTTAGTGATAGGGAGTGAAGTGATAGAACATATTGACCACTTCACCTATTTGGGAAGTTGTATTAGCACCAACGGACTGATTGGCAACGAAATCTCAGCACGGATTCAAAAAGCTCGAGCTGCTTTCGCTGACTTACACCATCTCTGGCGTAGGCGTGACATCCGGCTATCAACCAGGGGACGTGTGTACTGCTCATCAGTTCGCTCCGTCCTTCTCTATGGCTCTGAAACATGGCCAATACGCGTTGAAGAAATGAAAAGGTTGACTGCTTTCGATCATAGATGTCTGCGATCTCTGTCTCACGTTAGGTGGTTTAATAAGGTAAGTAATGCTGACGTTAGGCGTAGTGTTGGGTAAAGAGGGAAAATCAATCGACGAGGCTATAAAGTTACATAGATTGAGTTGGCTAGGTCACGTGCTGCGCATGCTTAACCATCGCCTCCCCCGACGGGCATTACTAGCTGATACAGGTGCAGGTTGGAAAAGAGTAAGTGGTGGCCAAACAAAAACATGGCATCAATCCATGAAATCCTTGACAGTTAAACTGAGTCAGGTAGGTAGGGAGATGCAGACTTCCGGGTTGGGGCCCTCGGGACTCTAGGAATCAATGGCTGGAGACAATAGGTGACATGGCTCAAAATCGTTGTCAATGACTGGCGCAGATGTATTCAGTCTTTGTAATCTTTCATATTCCTTTGTACCATTACCCATTCTGTTTCACTCTTATACTTGTCAAACTCTATTGATTCTCATTCATTTATTCCCTTTAATGAATTGATTCTCTTCACTCATCTTCTTATCTACTTTTGTGTGCTATTTGGAACGTGGCAACTCGAACTGCTACACTTCGGTGCTAAGTTCTATGTTGAATCCAGACAAACAGAGGCTTTGGAGGTTGTGGTGGTGCTGGTGGTCAGACGACAACATGCAATCAATCCGCCAATGGAATCTCTAACAGTTATTTTGAGCTAACTAGTCACGTATGGAGGGGAAGGTGTATATTGCCATACTGGTTGGCTTGTGTTCCTCAGGATTCTAAGAACCACTAATGACTGGAGACTACCGGTGGATATGACTCAAAATCGTCTTCAGTGGAGTGGACGTATCCACTCTCCGTGATCTACCATATTCTTCCTACTTCACATTTCTGCGTATTGTCGTTCTTTCGAATCTCTCATTTCTTTTCTCTTTTGGTCTTCCTTTGCATCCTGCATGGAGTGTGACAACTTGAACTCTCCTACCTACACTACTCTACAAAGATCTATCTATGTTGAAACCAAGTTAGTCGGTAGGCTGGCTGTTCGTCGTGCAAAGTGCTGTCTGTCTATATACACCTTCACACTAATTTCGGAGTGATGAACGCCTGTCTTGTCTTTACAATTCTGACTGGCTGGCTTTGAGATTGTCATTGTTGTTGTTGTTGTTACCTGTGAGGTTGTATAATTGTGCTTTCCAGGTAAGTGAAACAGACAACATGCATAAGATCCCTTCAATGAATGGCGATTGGTATTCATTATTTGTGGATATACCACACGGATACATATATGAACATTGTATCACTTGGTCTATATGAACAATTTATTAGCCAATACAAGATTATGACTAATTAATTTTCAAAAGCATCATTAATCATCATAACAACAGGTTACATTTTTTTGGAGGAAGGAAGGATACGCGTCTGACATTTAAATCGATCAAATCATGTGAACGAAGGTCCTTCATAAAGTAATACAGTGTGGAATAGACAGACATGGTGAGAGAGAAGGAGAGAGACGGGGGCTGTGTGCAGTTTCATATTCCACCATATTTCTATTTACACATTTAACTGGCATTTAACTGTCGAGACTTTAACATTTCCTATTCACAATTTTGACAGTGACGTGTTTGATTCAAGGAGAAATCGAAGTAGATTTTTAAGTAATTGGTTTTTTTGGGATTTTGTTTGATTGCATGGAGGATTTCATCATGAGCTGACATCAGTTACAGATTAGTAGCGAATATAAGATGTTACATAATATGGTGTGAAATTTGATAAGATAGAATTCAATATTGTAAAAATATAAAAATTAATAATGTTGGATTTAGAATGACAAGTGGGTCAAGTCGAAACAATTCAGAGTGAGAATAGTAATAATAATAATCCTCGTAATAATGGAAAAGTACGTAGAATAACTAAATAAAGGAAATAAATTTCTATCCCTCTTCGGCCAACTCAGAGGTAGGGATTATCACATACTTCTTTTGTACACAAAGACCTATCTGGCCAGCTTAAATTCATGAATTGTCAAGGTCTCGACTGTCTTTAGAAGTTTGTAACGAAGAAAACGCGGCAAGTTATCATGGATTCTGGATATGATCATAAAATCATGGTCAAAGTTAGTTAACAGTGACAGAAGTCGATTAGGTGCTCCTGAATAGAACGTCGCACACACTTCCTTTCTCCCTTGTAAAACCATGTTCCCGTATCCGAGTGAAAAGCGGTTTTGTCTGGCTACAGGAGATATACCTTGCTCCACAAGAGGATCAGTGAACTGATAGGTGCACATGGAGGTGGCTAGACGGGAGAACTTATCTTTAACACAAAGGTGGAGAACAATTTGCGTTTTTTTCTTTCCTTCACGTTCACCAGTGGAACACAGGGCTTCAAGCTTCATACATACATACATACATACATACATACATACATACATACATACATACATACATACATACATACATACATACATACATACCTACATACATACATACATACATACATACATACATACATACATACATACATACATACATACATACATACATACATACATACATACATACATACATACATACATACATACATACATACATACATACATACATACATACATACATACATACATACATACATACATACATACATACATACATACATACATACATACATACATACATACATACATACATACATACATACATACATACATACATACATACATACATACATACATACATACATACATACATACATACATACATACATACATACATACATACATACATACATACATACATACATACATACATACATACATACATACATACATACATACATGCATGCATGCATGCAACCAACCAACCAACCAACCAACAGCGCTTATTACGTTTTTTGTCAATTATCACTGCTAAAATTGTATGTTTTGTTGTTATTCTTATTATTTAGGCAATCTATGAAGCTGTTCGACGTCGTCGAGAATGCATGGAGAATTCCTCTGACGAAGATGATGACAAAGACGCCAATAGTGATTCTTCTGGTTGGGAAGATTAACTTCTTACGTATATATATTTAAACAGGTAGATAGGTATAACAAATTTATTTTGGTTGGTGTTCACTCTTCGCCATCTTCTAAGTCATCATGATTTCCACCTCCGACCTCTGTTCCTTCTCTTTTTCTCTGCAGGTGTATAATCAAATGTCCCCTCTCAACCCCACTTGTTTTTGTTTTTGTGTTGTTTGAGTTTTTGCCACCTCTCTCTCTCTCTCCTTATGTCTTTCGATAATTTTATGGTTTTTGCTTGCATTTTCGTTTTACATGTATATATAAAAATGCGCATTATATATTTGTTTTTCAGGGGAGATTTTTGCTTCTTTCTTTTCTATTTAGTCACTTCCGGTAACATCATTCATTAACCTGTGAAATCATCTGTCTGTCTGCCTGTCTGTCTGAGTGTGTGCTCTGTGTATGTGAGTGAGTGTGTACTTTCGAGTTTCACTTCCTCCCATTTCGATTTTATCGCTTTTCTTCTTCTTTTTCCTATGACGATAAATAATTCCCGGTTTTTTTATTCTATTGTGAATCATGTGAATTGCGCGATCTCATATGTCACAATTATCGGAACCATACTACTCTCTATACTACTTGCTTTCGGTTTTATCGTTTTCAGCCGTGTTACCTTCGTAACCTTATGCTTTTGGTGATGATTATTTACTGTTCTGCTTATTGTGCGGGGTATTGTTCTTACTCTGATCACTACTCCCCTCTCCCTCGGACGAAGACTCCTCTAATGAAGAAGTGTGTGGGCTCTATTCGAAAACACCCAGTGCTTGACCAACTAACTACATGATTGTGATATGAAATTAAAAAAAAAATTAATTTTCAATTGTTTAACAAACAAAAATCACAATATCCAATTGAGACAGCAATGAATATATTGCCTTTTCGATAAATTCCTCCTCCCCTTCTCGCTCTACAATTATATCTACATATGCATGTTTATATACACAGAATATTCTAGATTAGCAGTAGTCAATAACAATATCGGCGTGTTTTTTAAGTAATATCGATTTGTAAAGTAAGATCACAATGGAATCACCAACACAGTTCATTAAAGATGCTTAAATAATAATAATCATAATAACAGATATATAGTAGCAAATAAAATTAGGAAAATACCACAAACATTCAGGATCATTCAAACGTAGATGGCCAAACGGGTAAGGATAATGTCTGAACCAACTAACTTCTTTTGGATGCATAAATTAGGCTTGTTAATATGGATCCCAACATGGCCAGCCAGTTTGAGCAATATTTAGTAGTCGAACTACTGTTAAGGCGAAATGGAGTTTTGTTGGTATTCGGTAGGTAAATGACCCTGAAAGCCGCCTGGTTAACATCAATCAATCAGTTTTGTGTTCCTTTATCCACAAGATGAGTGAGATAGAATAGCGCTGAAAATAGATTTTGTTTGTCCTTTGCTTAACCAACCACTGTGCAGGGTGATGTCGGGAAATTTGACGAGAAACACGCCTACTTGTAAGGCTGATGCAATTAAATGGCTCACTGCACAGGAGCAGTTCAGTTGGTAGATACACACACATGGAAGAGGTGAAATTAGGCAGTTGGTCTTCTACTCTCGAACGAACGCAAGCGAGGAGTGGTTTTAAAGACACAGCGTGATTCGGCAGCAGCAGGGAACGCTCTTTTTACAGCATTCCTAAGGCACTGTGTCAGTATCTCGCTGATGTTGTCTCCAAGGCACTGTATTTGGAAGAATAAGGCCTTTTTGGGAACTGTTAGTGTTGTTTTCTTATATCTGTGTGACTGGTCGGGTGGTTAACTAATGGCATTGAAGAAAGCAAGAACCACAGTTTTTGTGCAGAACAAAGTTGTACCATCATTGCTTATCTCGTTGCCCTCTCGTCAGCTGCTTACAGGCCAAAGACATTATTAAATATATCTACAAAAACAATTTTAACATACTAGCACAGAGTTCATTTGAAACAAAAACCGATCAATATATGCATACAGTAGTATATATATATATATATATATATATATATATATATATATATATATATATATATATATATTACATTAAACACTATTCAGAACAATAATGACCATACACAACGGAAACTTTTCGGCATACCGCATTCAGATGAAAGAGAGATGAAAATATCCAGCCAGTCACCAGGCAGGGCGAAGAAAGACTAATAAACGCTTGTTTCTGAACGCAGAAATCAGGTTTCTATCGCTTGATCGAAATGGCTTCATCAAACCTGAGGAGAATCGAGCTCTTTTGCCTATTGATAATTTTGAACGAATTCGACGTCCACCTCGTGACCGACCTGTGTGAAGGAGATGCCTGGCGATGGATGACACTGTTTAAAGCATTTGTTCCCAGCTGAAGACATAAGCTTTTTGTTATATGTTCAGAAAATCGTAGATATGCCCTTCGTCTTCTTTCTGTTCTTCCAATGTAACTGCTCCTGCAGATACATGTAAATTTGTGTATACAATTGGAGTTGTTAACATGAGAAGGATATCTATCGATTTTTGATTGCATCACAGAAGTACAAGTTGTTCGACAGATGGGGACGAGCTCAGCTGCAGGATAGGCTCTGGCTAGTGACGTACTCAGCCTTCTGTTGACGCTTGCTGCAATGTTTTCACCTTTATAATCAGGCTGAATGTAGATTGACCTTTAACCCACTGTGATTTGTTATACATTTGTGACTTCAGATCCTCCCTACTTGTTGATGAACCTTTCAGGGCAACCATCATTGCTCTTCAACATCTTTTCAAAAAACGTAAATTCTTCCTCTAATTTCTCTACAGAGCATATTCTCCTCGCTGTATAGTACAGAGTCTTGACTAGTCTGCTTTTAAAGCCATTTGGACAAAAACTATTAAAATATAAGTATTGTCCTTTCCATGTAGGCTTTCGATAAATTGACTTCTGAAGACTACCTATCGTCTTCTGTGCAGGCGTTGCATGGCAATGTGGAGGAAGTGGAGCTTTCATGTTCCATAGTAAACTGAATATTGGTGTTTGTGGATCATTGAATAATCTGAGTAAGTGTGAAGCATTGATTGAACTCTGTCAGTTGAGTTTTTTAATGTAGCCATCATGATAGGTGGCTCAACACATAAGATAGCTGGAGGCAGTCGACAGGAAGCCTTGAACTTCAACTTATTATTATTATTTATTATTGTTCTCTAATGTGAAGTCAGTGCTACTATACGGATCAGAGACTTGGCGAGTCATAAAGAGCATCTCAAACAAACTCCAAACCTTCATTAACAGCTGTCTCCGCTCAATACTCAAGATCAGATGGCCAGAAAAGATCAGCAACAGGGATCTCTGGGAGCGAACCAATCAGGAACCGATTGTGAAACAAATAGGCAGAAAGAAATGGAGATGGATTGGCTGGCCATACTCTGAGGAAACCATCATGTGAGTGACATCACTAGACAAGCCCTCGAGTGGAACCCGAGAGGGAGGCGGCGAGTTGGTCGTCCAAGGGTGACTTGGAGGAGATCATGCGAGGAGGAGATGAAAGCATGTGGACAGACCTGGAGCAGGGTGAAAAAGTTGTCAGAAAACCGAAGGCAATGGAGGTGCGCAGATGAAGCCCTATGTTCCTCTAGGAACTAAAGGATACAATAATTATAATAATTGTTCTCTTGGGTTCTTAGTGGAACATATGGCTTCAACTGTACGTATCCACCTGCTTCTGTCTTCTACTCGCCGCTTGCTTCCCTTTCGGGTTCCACTTGAGCAATGGCCTGACGCGCCTTCGATGTCACCCAGCGGCCTCCTCAGCGAGTGTCCAATCGATCTCTTCACTTTCTCCTGCATATTTGTTGGACGATTGTTTTGTTTGTTCCCATAGTTCCTTGTTGTTGGCGATTCTTTCCTGCCCGGCCATCTGATCTTCAGCATAGAGCGAAGACAGTTAGTTGTTGTTAAAGGTCTGCAACCTGTTGGGGACTTAGACTTAGGTTTCATGCTAATGAGTGCCAGCAAGCATTAAACTTAGAGTCGAGACTTCCTTCTGACTGCCTTCAACCACATATAAAGACTTTTTTGTTACCAGGGGACTGTCTCATCGAGGCACAGTATAGTATGCGGGTGATTTTGTCCCCCCCTGCCCTTAGGTAGCATGAAGACGTTGAGGCAAAAACAATGCAGTCAGAAATTTTAATTTGTTTGGCATAATATTATAAGCGAAGATGGGTAGCTAGCTTTCGGGTAGTCATGGAACCTCCAAAGCCTCAGGATGGTCGGGGGTGGGTGCCTTACGCTGCGGGTTGGCCACATCTCCGTACACCTCTTGAAATGCTCCCATATGACCGGGAGTCTTACATAGCCTCTCTTGAGGAAGTCCTACTCACTGCCTTCAGGTGGCGGAGGTGTTTTTCACCGAAGTGAGAGGGCAAAAGCGGATGCCCGGCGCTCTTCACCGGGTTGACTGTCCATTGGATGACAGTCTAGGGAAGATGGCTAAACCCTGCCTGATTCCAAACCTCCAACGACTGGCGTATGAAGCTCACCGCCAGATGTATGGACAAAGGGCTTACTGAATGCCCTGGATGTCTGGCCTAATTCAAAAATGCGTATGAATCGGACTCCGGTGACCGGCTGGCTTCCAATGGATAATGGACTCCCTACTCGACTCCTACTGCCTTCTAGGAGGTCACACTTGGTTGTGTAAAAGCTACAGCTGCACTCTGAAACAAAAGGCCGAGCGATTCTGGGGACATCACTCGTACCTAATTCCCATGAAACTTCATGAACTCTCGTTGCTACAACATCAACCAGTACTGGTCGAACAACGTGGCCTTCGGTGGTTTGGCCATGTTCTGGGTCGACCAGATGACGATCTGGTCAAATCAGTTCTAAATCCCTCTCCATTTCCATCTTGGAGATATGTCGCAGGGGTGGACAACTGAAAACATGGCTTGGTACAGTCAGTCAAGGCTGATATGGAGTGACTGGGCTGGGGCTACAAACCGTCTACGAACTCCGTCTGTGGAACAAGAATTGGATAACCGTGTCGCAAAACCATGCATCAGATCACCGCTCCTGGGCAGCGATGATTCGAAATGTTCATGAAACCGGCTCATCCTCCCGTAGGAGATAGCTGAAGTAAAGTAAGTAAGTAGTCATGGAGTTAGCCAAATGAAAGCAGAGGTTGGTAGCAGAGATTCAATTGGAATGTAGATATTATGCCTGTGTAGTGGCGGCCTTATGTATGTTACACCCGGAACACAAGGAATGAATAATAATACTGGGGTCGCAGATTTTATGCTTCAGTTTTCAGATTTTAAATCTTTACATATTCCCATTTTTAATATTAGTACAAGACATATAAGCGAACAATATTGTTGTTTTCAATTAGATCTCTACAGACTTTAATCTTAATTACATAACTTTATAGATTGGAATTTTTAACGAATGATGGTTTGTTTGTGGATCAGAAAATAATAATAATGTGGTAAATTTGAAACAATTAGTTCCCTTTATATAAATTTAGATAAAGCGATACGAAGACGTAATTTGTGTGTCTGAATCGTTTGTAATGTGCATTCGCACAACACATTTCGAACAATCTGATCCATCATACACACGGACTTTTCATAGGAACACATATATGAAATTAATAGAGTTAAGAGTTGAGTGAAAAAATGACTACTTAGGTCCAGTTGAAAGGAGGACATATTGACGGTCAAAACAACAATGAACATCAATCACTAAACCAAATTACAGAGGTAATAGTACATCCGCCCTGGCTGGTATCAAAACAAAGTTTACAAAGAAAGGTTTAGTGTAATGAATTGCTGCTTTGAACGCATAAAGGTGGTTTAAACTTCCTAACTGCCATCTAGGGCTAGATTCCACAAACTTTAGGATACGCCCTCCCCCAAACATGTTTTATAGAAAGGTTTAAAAGATGTGTTAAGGTCAGTTTTATGTCCTGTCTCCTCTTTAATATGTTTCGCAATAGAAGAGCTAGCTAAGTCTTTGTCTCCTCTCACCATTAATGGGTTCTGGAGAATCCATTTGTTTCTGGAGCCATTTACGAATATGCTCTGAAACCAGCCGGTCCTTACTTGAGGAGATCGATAAGTCCTTCCTATGCATGTATATTTGTCCACATGTACATTCGAATTTGTAAATACAGTGGGATGTGACATCATTTTTCGCTTGGTGGTGGTGTAGAAGTCATCAGTTGATTATGTCTTAATAGGCCAACATGGGCGGAGGGATAATGACTGTACGAACTTCTTTTGAATAAAGGCATAGTTTAGGTTTAATAGTTCGAATCCATATCGCCTCAGCTGTATGCATGGAGTAAACAAATACGAAGTCTATTGGGAAGACTCGGTGGGATACGATGAATTACTTTGAAAGCTCTTGTCTTCTCCACTACAACATGAACACTATCTATTAAATGTGACAGAACTGAGCTACGGATTGTTTTTGTCTGTCCTTTGCCAAACTACGATGATGAGAGATGTTCACTAACACGTTGACTGGCTAAAGTGTCTAGCAGTAGTGTGCCCAACATAACTGTCACCGCAGGTGCAGTTGAATTGATAAATGCACATAGATGTGACAAAACTATCTAGCTTATCCTGCGTTTGCGTCCCAATCATTCGTCGGCTAGAGAATGACAAACATAGGTATGCTGCGTAAAACGTTCTTCGTATACTCCTGGAATAAAATCCCACTTGACAGACAAGCCATCATTAAATTATAACTTAATAAATGGAGGTTTTTTTACGTGCAGTCAGAGTCTCAGGTTGGTTTTCTCTCTGATGTTTTCATATGTTTCTTTATGAAACTACTCGGAAAGCCAGTCCATCTCCATCAAGGAATCGTAAATATATTCAAATTCTTTTTTTTCAGACGTCATCCGTACATATCTTTCCTGCTCCGTGCTCGTAAGACATTTAAAAACATTTATATATAATGGGCCCGTAACTAAGGTGGAGTGTGTATCGCTAATTAGTCCAGGTGAAGATGGGACTTCCTCTGATTCCCAGACG